GCATAATAAAGTAAAAGACAATGTAAGTTATATACTTACCTCATTTTTTAAATTATCTGAAGAATTCAATGCAGATTTTGAATCATCACCACCCTGTTCACTTGCTCCAACTTTTGATTCAAATTCTGATTTTGTTATCTTTCCTTTGCCATGTGAAGATGATGAATTTTCTATATGCTGGCCAACAAGGCTATTTGAAACCAAACAATGTATTAAATTTTAGCCGGCTAACAAGTTTTATACAATCTAAACTGTTATCACTATCAAATACAACGTAGTAAGGCCAAGAAAAGAACACAAACACATAAGTTTTCTCTCTGTCATAAAATGGAATTAAGCACGCACCAAAGTCTATTCAAACATGTAGTGCTGTTATTATAGAATCATACCGGCAACAAACAACTGCTCATACCTACCTTTCAGGGGGACCGACAAAGGAAGGTTGTTCTATTGGAGCATTTGCATCAAGGGCCTCACCAACATCACAATCAGTTTCGGATTGTTCAGTTTCACTTGGTTTGGCTACAGATATAGTACCAGATTTCTCTATTTCACTAAAAAAATACACAAGAAAGACGATCTGAATGAATTTCACGTAATATAAATTAAAAATGCTATTAGTGATTTCCAAAACATAAGCTAAGTCAAAGAAAGAAGAATGTTTCGCAGTTCTTCTATATATTTTACATATACTAACTCATTTGATAAAGGAAATGCTTAATGTAGCATTCTGTTTTATTATTTGGAGTGTAGTTAGAAGGAGCTAGGAGGAATATATCCTATATTTATTTAATTAAAATAACCTAAACCTAAATATTCTAAGTATTTATTACCAAGCTGAAAAAGATGTAACTATGAATAGAATGGATACTTAATGGAACTGAATAACCTGACATTTCAGTTTTTGATAATTTTAAGAAAGATTATTCACATAAGCACTGTGATTCCTATATAAAACCTCACGTTGCTTAGATTATATACAGGTTTCATAGCTGGGATCTAATCAACTTCACTGAGTTAGCTAAATGAACTCATTATATTATCATTATATTCCCAACACACACACACACACACGCAGGCATTATAACTTAGGTCTTCTATATAACCTAAACTTCAAACTTGAGTATTCAAGCTGCCTTTCCTTATTAAGAATTTTTTTTTTTTTTTTT